CACACACACACACACACACACACACACACACACACACACACACACACACACACTAGTTGGTCAGAGTGATAAGTTTATTATCCCGTTTGCATTAAAATCCGTCTTTGATGACCAGATAGCAGCTCAGTGGCACAGATCAGGACGTAAACCGGCTCCGGTCGTTCTACGACAGCATCTGATGCTAAAACCTGCTCACACTGTAAAAACGTCACATCTTCTCCTATGAGAGACGGAAACGGACCAGAGCTGCTCGATTCTACTGAACTGAACCTGAAACGTTGAATTTTTAGTTTTAAGCTCAAAGATGTTATTTCTCACACTGTAAAACACCAGAGAGGGATTTAGTCAAATCAACTCGTCTTTTCTAGTTTAATTAATGTAAATATATGAGTTTGGATCATTTCTAGTTTATGGAGCTTAAAATGTCTAATTTCTACTTTCACACCACTTTAGAACTTAAAAACAAGAGTTCTTAGAACTTCAGCCGTTCTGACTTAAAACCACAAGTTAATGAATAAACAGATGAAAGTTCACTAAACTCGTTAAATTAAGTTTGGATCAGAACTAGAATATGAGCAGAATCACCAGGATGTATCGTTAGAGACTCTTGGGGTTATGTTTTGTAGTCTGAGACTCTTTGTAAACTTGCTGTGCGTCTTTAATCCACATTAAATCAACTTGTGGTTGTTTCCTTTCAAAATAATCACCATAAAGTGAACCAGGCCAAAGGCTGGTCCTGAACTCAGTCCCTACACCTGCAGACTCACAGTTTATCTGACTGTAGCTGGAAGCGGTCCAGACCATCATAATCCTTCTTACAGTTCATTTACTTTGTGTTTTACTGATTTTCCTCTTGAAGTTAAACCACGACTACACGTCTTTTTACAAACCAAACAGTGTGTTTACTCTTTAAAAAGGAAAAAACTGGAACGGCCTCACTGATGGTCAGAGATGAACTCAGCAGCTGAAGTTATCAAAGAATGAATAAACTTAGAAAATGTTAAATGGAAGCACGTCTGTCGATGTCAGTGGTTGATTCAACTTAATATCTTTAGTTTATTGGAACCGTTTCCTCAAATTCAGTTGGTTTCATTCAGCCTGCTTCACACCTGCACAGCTAACGAGTTTAATCTAATTAATTAATCAGCTGACGTTCAGGTGAACACGACGGTGAAGGCTGCAGGAGACATTTCTACGATGAATTAACGTAAAATGATGTACAGAGCAGGAAATGGTTGGAGAAGCATCCAGAGTCCCATCAAACCCGATACCATCAGAACAACTCACCAGAACTCACCAGAACTCAAGCTAATCGGGTCAACGTCCACAGACCAAACCGAGGCATTAAATTTTAATGATCACATTTTAATACCACCGAGCTGTGTGTCCGGTTCACCGACAACCAGAACACACCAGAACACAGCAGAAAACAGCAGAACACAGCAGAACACACCAGAACACACCAGAACACAGCAGAACAACCAGAACACACCAGAACACACCAGAACACAGCAGCCCCACACGGCGCCACCATCAGACAGATTAACAAGTTGTGCCCGAGCTGCTCATCAGAAAACGCTCGCAGAGATTTTGACCTAATTTCAACTTATATAAACCAATAACGGCAATAATCAGACTACTGCCTTAATCTGGTTATTATGGAGCGCTTAGCACGCGTGCTGCTTGGTTTTCCGTTGCTAAAGAGATTGTGATAAGACACGTTCGCGGTTATACAAGAACGCCGTTACTCTGGATACAAACAAAGCAGCAAAACAGCGGGTTTATCTGCAGCGCCGCCATGACGCACCGTTTAACCGACGGACACCCTGCACGGCAGCACACACACATCTACTACACGTGAAACACTTCCTGGTGCGTTTGTCCTTAAATTAAACCATAAATAACGTCGATGCTAAAGTTGATGCACAACTCGTTTCAGGCCTTTACATTCCAGCCAAACCTCCGCTTCTGGTTCTGGATGTTTCACTTGAGCTCAGGGATCAAGTGTTTCTCTGCTGGTTAGGAAAATACCTTCTGTCTCCTCAGGTAAATAAACCTCTGAAAGCCGCCGGATTATCGGAAAAATGTTTTGTCATAGAGTTAAAAAGAGAGAGAGGTCTGTGTTCTCACTTCTTCTCTCGCTTCCGACAACCTGACATGTTGGAATCGGGCCGCAGCGTGCTGTTGGGTGGTCTGTTGTGGGGAAAACACATGGAAGCGCTTCACTTCAAACCTCGGCTGGTTGTTAATAAACAGACGAACCGAGCGGGTACCAGAACGGTGCAGAACCTCCGTCTGGATCGGACATTTCTGCATTAGAAAAAATAAGGATATTTGTGCAGAAATTAGCACAAAAAGATGTCATCAGAACAAATCAGTCACATATCTGGAGGATTACCGCAGCAACACCCCACAAATATCCCGCTGCAGCCAGATAAAACCGTCTGCCCGTCCACTTTGGACTGCTGGCTCCGGCCCACTTGTTATTTACAGGAGAGCCCAGAATGGACCTGGACCCACTAAGACCCGGTATTTAAAGCCTCTCCATGTACAGTACAGCAGTCTGGCCCGGCCGTCTTTTGGCGCTGCTGGTAATGAGTTTATCCAGGGCAGCGCTGCCTTTGAACTTGATCAAACAGCCATTAATCCCACGCTGCAGAATCGGACACAGTCGGTCTTGGCATCCATGGAGGGTTTCCAGTAAGACAAACTGCATTTGATAACTAGCGGCTTGGCCAGAGGGCAGCTCCAAAGCCTCAATTAAGGTCACATCCAGACCTCCTATTATCCAATGCGGTCCATTACAGACGCTATTGATCCTGTCGGGGATCCTGAAGCCTTCGAACGTCGACGCTCGTCCAAATGAACAAACTTCTCATTCTGAGTGAGAAACTACAGAAAGTGTCTAAACGCTAAAAAGTTTATTTATCAGAACAACAGATTCTGGACTGAATGAGGAGAAGCTGGAGGTTTGATCTGTGTCTTCAAATCAATCAAAAACAGGAAACAGGAAGTAGAATCACAGTTTGTTTTGTGTTTTACTAACTTTAGATTAATTTAAAGTGAACCCTCTTTAACTTAAAGCTGGACTAAACCAAACTCTTTCTTTCACTCTTTTTTTAAAGGAGAATTAATTAAATTGTGCTTAAACAGAATCAGAAGAACTTCAGCCCTGCTAGGACCTGCAGCTCCGATGTGTGCTAACGTTAGCTCGTCCTGGTTTGTGCGACGTCACTGCATTTTAAGATGTCGCATATAAAGAACAAACAAAGCGCCGCACCAGGACGCATGCTCGTCATTATGAACCTGTTTGACTTCTGGTGGTTCTGTCTGACGGAGCAGAACGTTTGGACATGACAGGAAATCAGTGACTCGTTAAGAAACTGACAAAAACTCAACGTGTAAATTATTAGTTTTCTGTGATTTTATTGGATGTTATGTAGAATTTAACAAAACAGGGAAAATCTGTCAAATAAAACTGTTTCTGAATCCCTAATATTTATAGTTTTTCTTTCAAATAATAACAAATACCTGGAAAATAATGATTTTTTTTTTTTGCTGATTAATCAGCAGTAAAAGTGTAATCGTGTAATTTTCTGGTCAAACGTTGTAAAGGAACTGATGCCATTTGTAAAAATACAGATCCTGATGTGAATATCACTTTTTCAGCCTGTTTTTTTTCCCGAGATTTTTCTAATTATCTGTAATTTACAAAAATTAAAAAAAAATAAAATCTGTAAAAAATAAAATAAAAAACCAATAGATAAACTAGCACGGGGCAGTAACAGGAGCTCTCATTGGCCAACCATATTTTTAGTGTTTTAAAGTCTCTCTCTCAGTATTTTCTTTCAAACTTCATCCTTTGGGCATCGAACTGAGTCCTAATAGAAATCATGTGTGGACCCAGAATGCAACAGCAGTCCAAAGATTATGCAAAAGCAGCACCACCCTCTGCTGAAGTTTCCACTTGTAAACATCCAACCATCCCAGTTATTCACATCCAAGCCATCCTTCTCAGGAGGTTGGACCCGAACAAGGTCACCTCAAAGAAAGGAAGCGAGCTGAGCGGGACGCTGTGAAGCGACCGTCCACTCGGTAGGCTGCCATGAAATGTAGTGAGGAAATCTGTGCTTCCTACAGGATGAATGCTTTCTATTTCTGACACTCTGAGCACACTTTGCTCTTTGTCCCTCCACTTTCATGCACTTCCTCCCGTCTGCCTTCGTTCTAAATCTCACTTTCAGCTTTCTGTTTCACACACACACACACACACACACACACACACACACACACACCTTCGCCCCACCAACAACAACAACACCAGCATTCCCCATGTAGCCCATTGTACTAATCAGCATTATCTAATTGTCTAGAATGGATTATGCCGTAATTATTCCCTCGACTCCTCACACTGGGTTTCATGGAGACAGATGGGCGAGCA